AAGAGACAAGGCTCAACATTGAGCTGTCATTATTGATTGATTGATTAATTTGAAGCCAGCTGTCATGCGAAGCGAATCAACCATCAACGTTTACCCTACACACGACCGCGGCCCTTGTTCGATATGAAAGTCGTCAATATTGGTGATGATGATGCAATGTCGCAATTGCCCATTGCATATAAGCATGATTACTACCTACTATAAATCTCTTCGAGGATGTAATGGACGTCCAAGGTCGGATTATGAGATCATGCTGTGAATATCCACCCTTCATAAACATGGACACCACCAACTTCTGGTGGCTTCGTGCAGCCAAGTGAAATGACGTAAAGTGGAGGAATTACCTTAAGCTCGGCAGCTATAGCCGGTGACTCCCGGCCTGGGCTGGGATGGGAATAAGCGTCGGATGCACATGTAGATCAAGTTTATCTCTAATTGCCAGTCGATGGAGACGTTTAATCACGGACATGAACAATGAGAGAACAGAATAGGCAATCAATGATAGTTTTCCTTTCTCAACCATAACGCACTAATACACCATGAATAATACAAAAAGTTAATCATATAATCGGGCGCTTCTGACGAGCCAGTCAGTTCCTGAAGGGTATCTTGCGGCCGTGTCGCATAAGAAAACAGGTGAAAAAAAGACGAATCCAACTACCGCCGCTCCATTTCCAAGGTTACGTTGTCCATTCCGTCAACTCATTACATCCTCAAATCGTTTAGACACCAGAGTGGTGACCGGGCTTGGTATCGGCGTGAGCAGAGTGGCCGCGCGATCGCATGAAAGCAAGACCCTCCATGATGGTCAAGCCGGTGAAGATGGCCCAGATGAAGTAACCGAAAGCAACGGCGGCTTGAGCGCATTGACAGATTGTTATGCCGTGGCACTTGGGAACACCGATGTGAGCAGCGAGAGCAGTAGCGCCGGCGAACCAGAAGAGCGTGGTGAGGGCGAGAACACCGAGAGCGACCATGCTGTGGTACATGCGGGGAGCGAAGAGAGGCGTCAGAGCGAGATAGAGGAGGATTAGGATGGACCAGACGACGCAGAAGAGCAGGAATGACACCGAAGCAGGAGAGTCACTCCACCAAGTACTAGTTGCATCGACGACTGTGGAAATGTTAGATGAGGTAGCTCATTAAAGAGTAGAGAGAGAGGTTCGGCACTTACGGTATGCGGTGAGACCCAACTCGATGATGAGGAAGACTGCCAGAACGGCGTGAATGATGGTGATGATGCCCATGGCCATGATGAATACGATGTTGATGTCGTATGAAGGCTAGATGATGTATCGGATTGAAGGTGTAGATAGATGATGATCTGCTGCTGAGTAGTTCAGTTCAGTTCAGTTACTGAGGAAGGTGAGTGAAGAAGAGAGATGGATATGATCGCCAGCAAGAGGAGGGGTCTAGCAGGGGGATATAGCATTTATTTAAATCTACGGGCGGCAGGTTCGGGTTCAGTCAATGACGGACAGTGTCAGTCATGGATGGGCCCATCCATTCAAGGCAAGACAAGACGAGACACTTTAGCCAACCCAAACCCAACAGGCCAAGCCAAGAACGAGGCCAGCCCCAGTTCAGTTGACTTCACTTCAGCCGCTGGCAGCGTTAACTTAATAGCTAAGAACCTCTACGTCAGTGAATCATGGCGTATTCGGCAGTCACCTACACCTACAGCCAAGCGCGAAGCTTTCCCTCCCTCCGCAAAGAGGCAGCCCAGACCAATCAAGGGCAGACAGAAAGAACAAGATCTGCATTGACGACGACGTTTGAGTGGCTCATGTAGCTTTTTCCCTTGTCTTCCCTGTCATTGTCACGAATGACGTGGTTGCTAAGACCCAAACATCTGACGTTTTAATGCTGGGTTCCCATTTCTTTCGGTACGTACACACACTTTACAGGGCGCGTGATGTCATTTAGTGGCTGAACAAGGCTCAGCTCAAGGCTCAATCAGTCAAGATTCCGAATACGAGACATTCACATTCCTTAGCTGTTTCTGGGCGAAAATGTACTGCAATGCAATGAATGTTATAGAGCATCATCTCATCATGTTCTGACAGCGACGACAAGAGTTTGTGACGCGCACGACTTTTTTGTCTCTTGTCTCTGTCGGTCCCCCCCGGGAGTTATAGGCGCTTCAGTGCTTGGCTGATGGATGCACTGCCTTGGCTCGGCAGCTGAAACCCGTGGACCAAGACCAAGACGTCTCTCTTCTCTTTTCTCTGTGTCTTTGTCGGCGGCTGCAGTTGTTGAGTCAATGTGACATAAACTTAACATCCCTGTAGAATTGGGTCAACTCTAACTTGGCCCGGCAATTGAGAGCAGACAGACGTGTTTCAGTCTTGGCAGAGATCTGTTTCACTTCATCTGACAGATCAGACAGAAAAAAGCACTTTTTACGCTCCTCAGAATACGATTGGCCAACACCATCTCACGTCTCGACGAATGCATTAACCGTCACCAGGCCACAGACGAGACAAGACAAAGGAATTGTATACCTGGAACATGCTAATAAATATTAAGCGCCCCAGTCTCAGTCTCATTCAGTCCTTGGCCCGTATACAACTGTCACCGTTGTCGTCTGAACAATCGCCCGCTCCTCATCATCGCTGCTGCTACGGGGATCCCACAATTGAGTCTGAGTCCGAGCCTCGCCAAACTTATTCAATGACTCTTGTCTCCGCAAGTGCCGTATCATCTGTTCTGGCTGTTCGTCTGTCTCATACGCCGTCACTTCGGTCGTCACGGGCTGCGCCTGCACGATTGTCTTGAGGTCGAATCCGGGATCCTCAATCTGAACATCGAGTCTATCCTTGCGGGGTTTGTTTCTAATGCTCCCTATCGTCTGGAATGGATGTTGTCGTGTTCCTTTACTGGTTGTGGAGTATTGAACTGACGACCCGCGTTCGCCAATAAATTTGGGTGCGACATGGATGAAGAAACGACGAAGTGTCGTCAGCGACGCGCATATTATCAGAAGATTGGCCTCGACAAAGCTGGCCTTGTTAGTCACTGCTATACTAGGGTCGAGTAGTACTCACATCCAAACCACTGCACTGGAGAAAACCCAGGTGTAGTCGTTTGCATCAACTATCGGAACTAGTAGTACTAGTCGAACCACAGACGTTACAAGTGTTCTGTCTCATCAGTTAGCAAGTGCCAGCTATCTCAACTGAGAATCACCTACGCAGAACCAATGACAAACAACACCACAAGACCAACCTTTTGGCGTCGTGGCATCTGCAGCTGCAAAATCATCGGCAATGGCATGATAAGAAGGATGAGATCTGAAAGAATGCCTAGGGCCGCTGTGCAGACATACACCGCTCCTCGATCTACGCATGAGCCTTCGAGTATCGTGAGATCCCAACTCTTCTTGAATGGTGTACACCTGAAAAGAACCACAAGTAAGATGGCTAGGTTATAACCAGCAACGAGAAAAAAGACGCTGTACACGCTCCATTTCCACCACCGCTGCGGTGAAAGCCCTCGATAGAATAGCGCCAGCGCCATCTTGGAGCAGGCAGTGCATACTGCGTATAGGATGGGAGATATGAAGGTGAGCTTGGGTGTGGTTAGCAATATGTCCGCCAAGGTTTACTAGGGATCATACGTGATTTCCTTCATTGAACTTTTCGAGAGGGAGTTCCCAAGCATGTACTCCTGTAACCCCGAGAATGAACGAACCTGCTTTCTGTCAACAACTATCCCTTCTACCAAGTTTCTAGTGGAAAACTTACTGAGAGAGACGACCTGAACTGCTATGGAAAAGATCCACGCAATTATTAGGCAGGCTTCCTATTCTTAGCAGATGACAACTTGATCCAGATCGGCGCAAGGGTCTTACCCGTCTCCCCATCCGGTTTACGTGAAACCCAGAGTTTGACATATAAATACTGGAGAAAGAAAAGAAAAGCGAGTGCTGTGCCTATGCCCGAGATCACATATGACTCTATGGCGTGTCGTTGTAGGGGATGATCAAAGTTGACCACATAATCCTCTGGTGGTGGGATAGCGACTGTCACGCCGTCTACGATAGGGAATGCGGACATGGCGGCCTCGATGGCCTGCGAGTTGCCAACACGCTCGCTACTGTGACCGATGAACTCGTTGGATGTTTAAAAGATGTTCGAGAGAGTGGATAGATACGGTTGGTCTTGGCGGTCAATGAGTGCCGAGAATAGATCGAGTTTCGAGACAGTAATAAGGGGTAGAGAAAATATTACAACCCTATTGTATACCTCGATTTCAAATCGACAATAGGATATCAATACAATTATGAATAAGCGCGCACCAGACGCAGAAGATTAATAAATCCAAAACAAAAGAAGAACGATACCAAGAATGAAGAGAAACAACATGTGAAGATTCCAACATGCGACCTTCTTCCCTTCTATAACATGATACTCTAACCAGCACAATCCAACAAACGCCCCCGACCAAATCCTTCGAAACAACAGGCTTCATCCGGCGAGACCGCCTTTTTGGGGTCATTATGGAGTACGGCGGTAAACTTGAGGACAGACCATCTTGTGATCTGGGTTGTGTTGCAGAAGCTAGAAGCATTGTTGAAGAGTTGGTGATGATCCACTGTGGGAGATCAGCGACAAGGATTGCATCGCGTCGCGCGGCCGGAGAATATTAAGATGGCTGTGATATGAGATCTGATATCTTTGATCTGGCAGTTTGTGTAACTAGATCTTTCACATCACATGAGTGATTGTGAATTACACTTCCTATTCACTATGTGATCAACTGTCCCACAGCATCTCTCCATACATCACTTCACAGCTGAACTCGCTAACAATCTACGCATGGATCACTTCAAGGCTGAACATTCTGCGGGGACATACCCAGCCTAGCTTCTTACAATCACTGCTTAGCATCGTCTCAGCTAAAGTATCCCGATGCTTATGCAAACATGCTCTCTCCTGACAAATCTCGCTCGCCCTGCAAGACACCCAAGTTCAAGATGCGATTGGCTAGTCACGCCCTCAGCCTTTGTATATCTGCTTGATCGCATCGTCATAAAGATGGCGCATGCTCTCCTCATCATCGGCCATCCTCCGTGCAACCGTGTTCTCAAGGTGTACTATTTCAGGGAGGTTGTCGCTTCTTCCATGTTCCCGAGCGATGGATCGCGCTGGATGTGTTTCGGAAATACTCGATCCTCCGCGACTCTGCGCGACGTCGACTAGTTTTCCAAGGACAGCGAACTCGAGCTTGAGTTTGACGGAGTAGATGACGAGTTTGACGCCTTGTTCGATCGTATAGTGGTCCTTGTACATGATGATGAGGAGAGCTATGTCCATGGCTACGATGAGGAGGTTGATGATCAGGAGATACCACATCGTCTTTTGCTTGTTGCCTAGTGATGTCTTCAGGATGTCGATGGTGCCCCAGAGGTACAGTCCCGAGATCATAAACTCTTGGGCGCAAAAGAAAGTCATTTGAGTTTTCTCGATGGCGATGAATATGCCCGTGGGATCGCTGCCATCGACGCTCGGCCCAATAGTGAATAGCAGAGCTGTCTGCGTCGTGTGCCATATCACGCCGTTGATCACAATCATCCATAGCACAGCGCGCTGTATTCTCAAGTTATTCAGTACCAAGTGAAGTCGTGAATACAACACCACTGACTGGCCAGTAACGAGTACAATCCAGCCGAGGGACGCGATGGCCTTACTCGCGTCAGTGCCCAGGATGTCAAGGTATCCAAGCAGCCATCCCAGCGCATACGGAAACACGCCCAAGGTGGTTGATAGAAGACTCCAGAAGTAAAGACCATGATGGCGTTTGAAGGTGGTAAAGATCAAGGCGAGAAGCTCGCATGCATTGTATAGAGCAAGAGTAGAGGTCGCCTGAGATGGTCAGCGTTATTCAAGCTCATAGCTCAAGTGATATACAATAACTAGAACTGCTTTGGGGCTATATACCAGCCCATCTTCCCTGCTGTGTATCACCGAGAGATGCATCCCAGACGACAGACAGACTCTCACCACTGAGACCAACGTGTGTCGTGATAGAGATGCAATGCCACCAAGACAAGAGGTGGATATGGATTCACAAGTGGCAAGTCACATTTCAATGCAACTGGATTATAGCATCATTCAAAACCTGGGGTAAAGGACAAAAATCCGGGGGAGGCCCCCAGATAGTTCATTGGGGACAATGATGGGCTAGCTACTACATGGAGACAGCATTTAGCTTACGGGGGCGATATTCCGAAGAATTGGTCACTTGCAATCTTAGAAATATCAAGAACCAATGAGAACAAAGAGTAAAACCCAACAGTGCGTTCAGTTTCTCTTCATCACTTGCATTCGAGTAGTGCAACATCTCATTGGCAGGGGGGAGTTACCCTGAAGGTTTAGGGTCGCAGAGAATTGCCATATCGAAACATCACCCAATCAGGCAACATTCACTGTTCGATATTTCTGACGGATGCTGAATCCTGATATAAGAGATGGAAGGTCCAGATCCTTGACGATGTTTGATGCCAGTGAGACGAAGCCGATACTGATCAGTCGTTGCATCGGTTTCAACCTTCATCATCGTTAAACGTCAATACTTCAACTGAACCGTACGCCACACCTTGTTCACATCACCAATAAACTCAACAGAAACGTTTTTATTTATCAGAGCTTAGCTTCTACTTCTCTAATTCTATCCTTAGAGCTTAAGACCGAAGCAGTTGGCATAATAAGTAACAGTCGAGCTCCAATCCGAAAAGACACCAACGACGCCAATCTCCCGGAAAACATCCAACAAGTTAAACACATCACCATCATTGTTGATCAGCTTCGCAATGGTAGTATAGTAATAGTTGCCGTCGGCGCCGTTCTTCAGAGGACCAGATCGCTCCAGAGTCCAGGTGATGATCTTGAGACCGAGCTCATTCGCCTTCTTCGCATACGCGCTGGGGACAATCTTTCCGTTCTTACCAGGCGTGACGAGATAAGGCAGAGGGGGTGCGATATATCGAACGCCGTCCTCCTTGTAGCGGGTGAGATTGGCAACGGCCTTCTCAAAGGTCTCGGGTGTGTCGCCCGTCTCGTCGAGATACATGGCCTGACGAGCGTACTCAGGCTCGGCCTTGAGCCAGTACAGAATGTCGTCATACAGGAAGCTTTGGAGATACACATCGCTGGGCTTGACACCAGCCTGCTTGTGCTCGTCGATGAGCTGCTGAGCGTACTTCTTCTGAGTATAGTCACCGTCAAAGGGCATCTTGACCTCAGGTGTCTTGAGCTCAGGAGTATGCTTCAGACCAAGGCGCTTGGTGAGCTGAATGTGCTCCTTGTTGCTCAGAACTGTACCGCAAGTAGCGTACAGATCGGTTCGCCATGGAGGAGTACCGTGGAGGAAGTCGGCGGCGTTGGTGGCAGTGGCATTGAAGCCCTCCATTTTGGCGCAGAGAGTCTTGAACTCCTTGAGGGTAATGTCGCTGGTGCAGCACTTGGCAGAAGCAGGCTTGCCATCCTTGGCGGGCTTGAACGGCTGGGTGCACTTCTCGTTGAGCTCGGGGATCGTGACGATGTTGGTCGTGTAGTGGAGATCGCATTGAGAGTGTCGGCACACGAGCTGGCGATCCTTGGTGAAAGCAACATCGCACTCGAGGATACCGGCGCCCATTCGAGCACCAGCCAAGTTCGACTCGAGAGAGTGCTCAGGGAACTGAAGTGTACCGCCACCACGGTGGGCAATCGACCACTGGGAAGGCTTCTGAGGCTTCTCTGAGCACGACTGAAGCTTCTTCTTCAGCGAACCCTCGTCCATGTCGTTGACGAGGTAGTAGGGTCGAGGGCCGAGCTCAATCTGCTTGATTGGCTTGACAGTCTTGAACAACTCCTTATCGCCATAGCTGGGACTGGGAGCGGCCACGGCAGGGCTGACGACCGCCAGGCCAGCAACGAGAGGAGTAGAGAAACGCATGGTGAACAGGACAAGTCAATTGATTGACAGAGGAGCAAGCAGGTTCAATGGAACGAGAGACACCGACAAGGCTTGGCGAGAACCAGCAATTGAGGCCTTGATCGAGACTGACTGAGGCTTGACCAAACACCAGAACCTCTCGATGCGACCTGGGCGATCACCAGGCTTTATGGACGAGAGAACTGCACATTGATCCCCAGCCCGATAGACCTATCTGGGCAATGCACCGAGATGACGTCGCAAGATCCCCAGGAACAAGCCCATTCACACAGAACACCCCTACAGGATGTGGTTTTTGTTGAACCTTCGGTGTTGGTTATCGGCCTAGAAGAGACGAATTGAGCAATCACATCGCAGATCACAGCACTTGCAGGCCAGCTTCTGCAAAGAGCACAAGGTCCCCGGAGCTAGCAGTAGGCAAAGTCCGTACGAGATGGGCATCTTTGACAAGCACGTGTGGAGGAGACGTGGGCGTTCGTTGGAGGGGGAAGCTAAGGATAAGCTTAGCAGCGTTACACTGAACCGTTCAGCTAGAGGCGTGTTTAGTATGGACCTTGTGATTTGCCGAAACCTAGCTTAATTGAACCCCTGCCATCCATAGCCACCCACGCATAAACCTGGTCGAGAGATATCGAGCATCTTTGGAAGGTGGATGAATAAAGTTGGCGAACCGTTCAATTGAAAGTCGGCAATTCATGCATGTGCATACATGGGTAAGCCCTGCTGTCATGGCATCTCACTACTACCCAGGTAGCCAAGCACTTGCTCGCGCTTTTGTATGCACGCCGCATTACAACTCGTCCTTGTCCCCATCTTCCATGTAGTCGTGCTCAACTGCACGACCCTTCCGGATCTTGCGAACTTCCTCAGCCGTGACTTTGAAATGTTCAAATGAGGGCGCATCTTCTCCAATGCCCCAAGCAAAAACTCCCCCAACTCCGAGCTCTGGCACCACATGGCTAAACTTTGTCTGAATGCTCTTTTTAGTATCAAACGTCCACCATCGCCACTCCTTCTCGTCCCAGTAGAAATAGCTTCCGTCTTCATCATACTTCCCAGCCGTTCTCGCACGTTTGAACGATGTAAATACGTCCTGGGGAATATCGTCGTGCCAGCTAAAGCCGCCTGTCTTGCCCATATCAGCTCCGGTCTCGGGATCCTCAAGCAATTGAGTAGGGCACCCAAGAAGCTCTCCCTGTGAGCATTCTTGGGTCATGAACCATTTGACATAGTATCCGAACCCAAGATTGAGCTGACTCGGTGACGCGCCCCGGTCGATATAACGCTGGATTGAGTTTCGAGAATCCGAGACACCGCTGTGATGCTTGGTCACAGTATCTCGGCGGTTCATCAGGTCGTAGGCCATGATGTTGAGGAAGTCGACTTCTTTCATGATATTTGGCACGGTGGTGGGCGTAAAGGCCATCAAATCGACCTCTTTGCCTGGCACAGCCGCTGAAAGAAGTCTGTCGGGGCCAATAGCAGCACGCAGTTCCTGGAGGAGCGATACAAACGCATTAATTTCCCATTCGCGCTGGGAGTTGGGAATCTGCTTGTAATCATCACGGTTGCCTCTGTGGCCGTCAGTATGTACCTCGTAATGACCAAGATTGCAATGTTCCTTACCCGGGATATTCCCAGTCAATGTCGATGCCATCAGCGCCCGTCGTAGTGACCATGGCCGCAACCTGGCACGCCCACCGCTTCCGCGTGGTTTCATTCTTGGCCGCTTCCTCGAAACCTTGAGTATCACCCCAGCCTCCGATAGCTACCATTACTTTGGTGTCGCCAGGGAACCTTTTGCGGACATCGGAAACAGAGGTGAATAGCGGATAGTCGTGAGGTTTGTCGTCAACATTGAAGGTCTCGGAGCGCATGAATGCCAGAATGACATGCGAGACATCTTGAAGTTCGCTTTTTGACGGGACAATATCATGTTGCCTAGAATTCCAGTCAGTGAATATTCTGAAGTTCCTGCTTGCCGACGAAGGAGATGCACTTACCCTGTGAGATACATAACACAACGGAATGGCTCGGCTTGAGACATGGCAGTCGCAGTCACCGCCGCCAGGAATAGCAGTTGCCATTTGCAAATCATTCGCATGATGCGCATTTGGAAGAAAGTAATTGTTGATGATTGTCTCTCTTTTATGCTCGATCATAGAGTACAGTGATTGAGGTGGCACTTGCTCAATTTACCCGCATATGCGTTGCAGGTGTAGATGAGTGAAGTGGATGTTTTTTAACCAATGCTTCAGACAGTTGAGGAGCTCAGCCCTATACTACGCTCAACCTGATTCATCAACAAACACAAAATCATAAACGCAATCTTTCAGTGACTGTTCATTCGCGTTCATATTAATTCGTATTCCTGTTTCTCAATGCAAGTTCCTCCCAGATAAAAACCCGTTTGCGCCTGCGTTCTATCCTGTCTAGTAACATATGCCTCAATAAGACCCTCCCTCGCAAATCCATGCCTGGGTATTGTTTTATACAGCGGATAAAACCGCGCCAACGCCAGAGCCTCCAAAGAAAATCTACAGAAAATAATTCCAAAGAAAAAGTCATGGTATCGTGTTCGCTTCGTGTTCGTATCCCTCAATATCCCAGTCCTGTCTAAATCAGCCCTCGACTCTTGAGAATCCGACTGAGCTCCTTGAGCTGCACTGGTTTGGAGAGAAACAGATCCAGTCCGTTCGAAAAAGCATCCTCCTGTGCGTCCTTGGAGGCGAGGCCAGATATAGCGACAATATGCCTTCGTGGCAAATCCGAGGCCTTCTCGAACCCTCGAATTTGTCGTGTAGCCTCAAACCCATCCATTACCGGCATGGAAATATCCATCAAAATACACTT